GCATTCCATTAATGAAAGTCGCGTTTAGGTAATCAGTCTCTAAATGATCGATGTGCTCATCGATGATCTCGCAGGATGACAGATTTTTCATTAAGCTTTCAAAATCGACGCCATTAATAGTTTTAGCTACGATCTTATTAGCAGTTATATTGTCGACGATTAAATTCTCGAAAACAACGTTCTTCAATGTTTCGTTTAATTTCCGATGGAACTCATCGTACGAAGTATCATTGTTTATAGTATTGAAAGTCAGTTCGTCTACGATGATTGGATGCTTGAATATCAGAATTTTTTCTAAACAATTATCAGCATTTTTATTCTCTTCGAAGAATGCTTCGAACTTCTCAACGGCTCCGGAAATGACGTTTCCAAAAGTGACGTTCGCCAATATTTTATTTAAATCTGAAATAAAATAATATAAAATTCTCAGGACAATTAATTATTATTATTATTGATAATATAAATTGATTTTTACTTGGGAACGTCTGTTCTGTATCGTAAGTCACGAATTCTTCTATCAAATGCCCATTAATCATGCCGGATGTAATAGTAACGTCGGACTTCATCTCGACCTTGCCTAGGAACGTCTTAGTCCCTGTGATCTCAACGTTCTCCTCGGTTTTTAATAACAAATCATTCAAATTGAGTAATTTTTTATCCATAAATAGCGTATCGAACGTGACATCGCCGGAGACTGTCAAATTTATGAACCTGATGTCAGACGAAATCTTATTCGTCTCGTTCAACAACAGGTAACCCGTTTGATTAAATCCTTCCATCTCGCAATCCATCTATAATTATCCAAACTCTTGAAAATGTAACATATTTAAATATAAATCACGTGACATACCCTTAACTCTTCATCAATTGTTAAATTCTCGAAGGAAATCGATTTCAATACATTATGCTTATCTAGGATTACGTATTCATCAAAATCTAAACCATTTAGGGTTTTCACGTCCTCTAAACGTGAAGTTATTAACGTGTTGAACGTCTTTAATCCAGTTACAATCGCCTCGCCATTTTTATGGGCCAGGACGAAGTCTTCTGGGTATTTTAGGCCATTTATTTGATTTAAATCGAAGGTGTCTGTGGTCAGGATCTGAAAAAATAATATAGATTTATTCTATTTTAATTATAAAAATTTTATGTGAATTCTAAATCAAGAATGATTATGCAAATTCATTTTTTTTTATCTTCTCATTGAAGCTTACCCCTTCGATGACAGTGTTTCCAGGAATGACTTTAGGCTCGTCTTTCCATACGATGTCTCTCATCAAAATCTTCCAATCAATCCCGTTGATGTTCTCGAAGGAAATATCTCCATTCACTTCCACTTTATTTATTTCACTAAAGTTCACATGACGATAATCTTTTATAGCGTCGCTGAACAGAATATCTTTAAATGGGATACCATTCACGGAATACACCGTGAGATTCTCAGCTTGAATGAAATCGAAAGTCTCTTCAATCGTAGTAGAATCATCGTGGGACGAGGAATCGTTCATGCTAACGTCATTAATGAACTCTGCAGTTAAATTCTCGACTGTCAGACTTCCAGCGAAATTTATATTCCCAAATATTTCTACATCCGAATCGAAATCCAACTGATTCGCTTTAGCCAAATTCGAATCAATTTCAATCAGTTTTTGCTTTACACTCTTTAATCGTTTCTCAAAATTGTCTATGTCGAATCCCACGTCTTCGGGTGTTAAATTCGCGTTGCCTATAGTGATCTGGCCATAAGATACGTTTTTAGAAAAGGTTGCATTTGTCACGTCTGCTACGCTAATATTCCAGAATCCGGTGACTGGGTTTTTCAAGTAACTTTTCTCGATACGAGCTTCTGTCTCGTTAAGAATTCTGTCTTGATGATTCAACGTTTCCTGAAGAAATGACAAATATTTTAATACTTAAAGATGTTCTGTCAGTACTTGAAAAACTTACTTCTAGTAAACTTTGCAAGAGCAACAGTCTCTGTGTAGAATATTGGACAGGGTGTATAACATCTTTCAACTGAGTGTGAATTTTCACCAATTGATTGCCGTGCATGAAACCGTATTTTGGAATTGGTATAATTTTAGAAAGATCGAACTGATCGAGATTCTTATTTGGCAAATGAGTTCCCTTAAAACTGAAACCTTGCCAGGTCAGAGCGAGCACAGTAGAATTTTTTAATTGCATCAACAATAAAGATTCCTCTCTATAGGAATCTGGTCTTATACTCTCGATCCAAGCAATTTCTGGATAATCTGTGATAAGCATAATCACATCGAATGAAATATAAAAATTGTAAATATTAATATTTCAATCTATTCATACCGAAATTAGATTCAGATTCTGTGTTGAATTCGAACTCGTCGTTCACGAAGTGGAACAGGCCAGCTTCCGGGCCAGATATTGCCAGGAACGAAAGGTATCCACTTTCGAAACAGACGAAATTGCTTAAATTATACGATTTTATGCTCTGCAATTCGCGGAAACTACTCCCTTCGGTAACGTTCCGATCTTCATAAAATAAAACGTGGTTCGAGCCTTGAACAGCGAGTGATGCGGTTTCGTGAATAGGACAAACTTGAATTCTGTCTGTTTTCAATTTCGGAATTTCATCGTACAGCCTGTGATGAAATAAATGAATTAAAATGTCGATATAAAATATAAAAAAGTTCATCGAATTGTTAAATTAATTACCAAAATAAATTAATACTCTTAGGAAAATTAATATAAAAACCATAGACGTCAATGGCTGAGTATCGTGCACCAAAATTAATCTCTTCATCATTTAACAATAATAATTGATAGGATTTTTCACGTTGGATGAACTGTATATCTTTTATACGTTTCAATACTGGCCAAGTCCAGAAATGTTTGAACACATTTTTATCTTCTAGCTTGTACCATTGCAAAGTGGTCGCGTTTCTCGATTCCACGCATAAAACTATCAAATGCATTTCCGGTTGCAGGCTGACTGCTCTGTACGATATTATATTGCCTTCTGCGTCGAAGCTCGAGGAATACGTTATGCAAATTTTATCTAAGTCCACTTCGTAGAAATAAAGCGTGGACTCCTCTGCACGAAACAAATAATCGCTGCCGATTATATTCAAATATTGCCATTTCGTTTCTGTTTTCGGTAGATCTATGAATTCGTGGATAGACACGTCTGTCACGACGAGTTCTGAAAATTATTTTCTTGAATTTGTATTAATTCATGAAATTATTATTGCAAAATTTAGGATCTGATTTTGTACCCTCTCGATTTCCAGCGCCGGTGTTGAACTCGTATTCCATCCAAATATTCGATACATCCTCGACGTCCCGTTTAATTCGCGACGAGACGATTTCTTCGATCAATTTTTCGACGTCCAAGCAAATCGTGTATTTCACAGAAATTAGAAAAATAAATAGGAGAATGGTGGAAACCTGAATTGACCGGTTCATCTCGGAAAGTAGAACTCGTACCGCTCGCTCGTCGAACGGAAAATATTTTGATCAGCTAATCGTATCACTTCGCGCAGTGGTTCTCCAAATGTTTGTGAAACATCGTATTATTTGATCGCTCTTGAACTTTCTTCTCTTGGACAGTTTAGCAGTCGATTGGTTTCTCGGTTTCATTCGTCTACGCTAATTGGACACTTTCACGAGTATGTGGGTCAAATGATATCCGTCGCCCGTTTTCCACGCAGGAAACGCTTTATTAAGTCAACGTTATAATAAAAAAACAAAAACAACGTGCAGAAATAACGTGTTACCAAACCAGTGACGTAACGATTACCCCGGTGTCTTATCTCGCCTCGGAACGATCGAAGCATCTATTTTCGTAAACCCATCACTTATCCTTAACAATATAATAAATCTACGTCTATGTACATATTTTATTCGAATTGATAATCCTTTTGATTCTGAATATCGCGACGGGAAGTTCGATTCCTACGGGACAGTCACCGGTAGGAATCTCGATCGGTCGCCGACTTTCGGCTGGAACCTCAGATTTATCTTCTCCTTTTCATCCTCGCCGACCTCGAGGAACGTGTTCCAGTCCACCAGGAAGTACAATCCGCTCTTCCTCCGTGGTGGTAGCGACGTGTCCGGTGCCTTGGTCGTTCCACCGAAGGACTCTTCCAAAGCCATCAGATTGGAGGAGCTCTTGGAGGAAGTCGTGGAGGAGTCGACGCCAGAATTTAATTGATCCGACGCGGCTCTCGCGGAATCTGTCGTTGTCGGGCTTAACGTCGTTTCGCCGGCCGGTTCTGTTGACAAGTTCCATTCATGAATCGGTTCGAAGCCGACTTGTTTCAAGCGCGTAATGAGGTTCAGAATTGCACTTTGAGTCCGAAGAATTTTTAATGCATAGAGATTGCGACAGTCACAGAGAGGAATGAATGTTATACAATGAGGGTTACAGAGATTTGTTAGGATCACCATAAATTATGTCTGGCTCTCGATTTCTCGGCGACATTAGTCACAGTGTTATTAGTATTACAAATAAGATTCTCACAATTAGCAAAGTTAGACGCGGGTAGAAAGTCGTTGGCTCCAGGTCGATCCGGAGTTTCCATCGATCTTTCCCAGAGATTGTCCTTTTCAGGGAAGATCGCTCTTTCTTCGCATGAAAGTAAAATTCGACGTAGAAATCGACGTGTTAGAAAACGGCGATTAATTAAGGGAGATAATGAATGGCTGCGTTCTTACGAATATGCGAAGGACGTACAACAATGAGAGGAAACGCAATTTGTTACAACTTACAGAATTAGTGAAGATAACCAGCAGACTGCGGATTTTATTCATTCAGAATTTATGTGTAAATGTATAAGAAATGTACATTTTCGAGAAGTAAAAGAAATATCAATTTATATATCATTTTTTAATTATTCTGATTTTATGGAATTACAAGAAAATTTTCAGAAATTATGAATATTTATAATTAATATTTTATTTTATATAAAGATCCGCAGTTTGATGATGAGATCCTCTGAACCAGGGCTAACGAACTCCACTATTGAGCTGCCCTACTATTTCGACTTGAACTGACGATAAACAGCAAACTTGGTACTTAGAATAAAACACGAAATTAAACTTCCGTGGAAACTCCTAAGTATACTTTTAACGATCGGAGTTGAACTTATTAAAGTGCTTCCCTTATTTCATTTAAAAAATGAGGATTGCAGAAAAATTTATGATTGAATTTTTTAATCGGATTTAATTAAGAAAATTATTTAATTAGCTTGATTGAAAGGAATTCGAATTATTCGATTGAATTTTAATCTTTAATTAGAAAAGTTTAATCGTTATTTGTTATTAAAATTAAGAAATCTGCAACTTTGATAGAGATAGAGAGTAAAGCACCAGTAGTTGAAAAGCGATGAGATACGATGCCCCACTATCATTCATGAATAGTAAACAGCCATAGAAGGAAGAGGAGAAACCCCAGGGAAAACTGTAGGGTCAAAAGCTCTAAATGACTTACGAGCTTCTATACAATTTAGTTCTTCACTCCAAACCTATTATACATATTGATTAGTAGACTCTGAAATCTTGTTAATACTCGAATAATCGTTCCAACCAAGAATTCCGAGCCACCCAAAACATACATCATAAGTTTTTTAATACCAGTAGTCGTGGTCTGTCCCTCGTCTCCTGTAGTAGTCGTTTCACTCTTCTCTTCATCCTCCTGTCGTTTAACTTCGTTTCGAGTATCCTCTTCGTACGTCTTGAAAATCTCTTCAAGTTTCACGGGATCTGGTCCTTCTTTCAAAACTTTTGTCGACTGTAATAAATCACTGGCTGCTTGTTTAACGTTCTGAATACCAGCCTTGCCTTCTTGCATTAATTTCACAGTATCCAATAGTTCATTGATTTTATTTTTCTGTTCTTCGTCTTGCACTTTGGCTTCGTGAGGTTTGAACACATGGAACTTGGACGAATCCGTGGATTTCACATCTTCCACAGTCTTCCTCTTCCTAGAAATTAATCCGATGTTCTCTAGAATTCCTCGCATGTTATCTGGCACTACTTCGATCAGAGACGGCATTTCAGTCGTCGGTCTCATAGACTTCTGTTTCCTGTTATCACCGATCAGTCCGAAACTCGCCAGGAACTCTTTCAATCCTTCGTCCTTCACATTAGAAGTCGGTAGGGGTTTGAAATTCGTATAAGAATTCAAATTAATTGTCGTTCTCTGAGTGGTACTCGTAGATTTATCCAAATCCGAAGTCTGCAGACCGAACTTCTTAAACAGCAATTGGACATCCCGACTTAGATTATCCACCCCTTTTTTTATCTCAGATCCAGGAGGTCCAACGTTCTGATCGACGATGGACATGGAATCAGTCGTGACAGGTGTCAAACTTGTACTACGAATATTGTTTAATTCTAAAATATCTTTATTCTTCTTATAAACGTCTTCCACGTTGCTGTTGTTGTCTGGTCGTAATCCGATGGAAGCTAACAAGTCCATCACTTCTGGTCTCATCGGCATTGAAGTGGTGCTGGTGCTTGTAGCTTGGCGAAATCCTGCAGAATTCAGGGAATACGTGGAAC